GGGTTTAGGGCTTAGGTTTTAAGGGTTTAGGGTTTAGGGTTTTGACTTCAGCGCTCTTAGGGACCATTATGAAGCTAGTCTCTTTAATGATCCCTTGGAGTTGTAGTATGATCAGAAAACTACTTCCTAAGGCTTACAGATTCAAGGCTTCCGGGTCTAATTCGGGTAGAGGCTTAGGGTGCAGGGCTTCAGCGGTTTAGGGCTTAGGACTCACGGTTTAAGCCCTAAACCCTAAACCCTAAACCTCCCTAAACCCTAAACCCTAAACCCTAAACCTCCCTAAACCCTAAACCCTAAACCCTAAGCCCTAAACCCTAAACCTCCCTAAACCCTAAACCCTAAACCCTAAGCCCTAAACCCTAAGCCCTAAACCTGAGGGGCCCTAAGGTTATAGGGTTTAGGGCCAGTTCAGGGAGTGAAGGGTTCAGAGGTTCAGGGTTTCAAGGTTTCATTCTTCAGGGCTTCTGGCTTTAAGGTTCAGGGCCTAGGCTGAAGGGTTATACAATGGACGAGATGTGTAGTTATAGTAAAATCGTAGTTCTATGATAGAAATTGATACAATCTAGTGTGGAGGAAGCTTTAAGGTACGGTGTTCTGATTGCTGCTTTGGGTAGCTTCCAGGTCTTTCAGTGTGAGGTATAACTGGAGAGTGTAATCGCGACAAAAGGACCCCGGGGTTTAAGGGGAAGTATACCCTAAACCCTAAACCCCCTATATACAGTGAAACTACGATAGGGAACCCAGGGGAATCGTATGGTCAGTACCTATGTATGGGCTTGTGTGTGGTCTTGAAGATCCCCTTTGGGACTTTCCGAAAATTAGGGGTACCCTATTTTGGTGTCCTTATAATAAGGATCCTACTCTTTACGGTACTATATTAGGGTCCCTATTTTCGGAAACCCCCCATGTTTCAGCTTGCAGTGTTCCGGCATCCCTGTTGTTTTGATGCTATTCTTCGTGCCCCTCGCCCCCTCAACGAAGTAGGACACCTCCTGCGCCTACACTCAACAAGCACTCACCCAAGATCCAACCCTAAACCCGAAACCCAAAGCCCTAAGCCCCAAACCCTAAGCCCTAAGCCCCAAACCCTAAACCCTACGTCTGAAACCCCCCCATTGCCATCGAGGGCCTTTGTGATTCAGAGCGAGGCCGGCTTCTGCTACAGCAGATCTGTTGATGATATGGGAGTTTCCGAAAATAAGGGGTACGGTATTTTGGGGTCCTTATAATAAGGATCCTACTATTTGGGGTACGATAAAAGGCCTCCCTAATTTCGGAAACCCCCATAAAAATCCTGCATTGCCCTAAGGACCCTAATCTATGGGAATTGTGGTATATTCCTTAATTATTCTGGGTAATGCAGGATTTATATCATCAAGCGTATGGAATCTGATGGAACCCCACGTACGAAACAGAATGTTGAGCCTCGCACGCTAAACTCTGAAGCTTGAGCTGCTGTACGGTAACATGGGAGCCTGCAAAGTTAGAAGAGGTCCCAAACCCCTCCACAACCCATACTTTTGACCGCTCCAGAGGTGTTCCACAACAACCCTTCTCGCCTCAGTTTGGCAAGTCCCCAAGCAGTGAGGATGATACCTGCTTTCAGCTCGGGAATCTGAAACTGGGCTGCGGGTAGAGGCAAAAACTTGGCGACGGCTTCAGGAGAAAAAAAAGCTTACACTAAGCCCGAGTTTCACCCCCAGCCGTTCAACTCCTCACACTAGCACCTCCTTCAAATCCGGACCCTAAAATTTCAGGATGAACATGAGGACAAGGCCTACTATCGCCGTTCACTCGCTGCTGCTGAGTGCTCCTCCTACAGCTCCTCCTACAGATCCCCAACAACAACAACAGCAACAACAACAGCAACAACAACTACAACTCTACAACAACAACAACAACAACTACTACTACTACTACTACTACTACTACTACCTGCTACTACTACTTGCTTGGAGTAGCTTTGCTCGGCTCGGGCTTCTAGCCGGCAGCGACGCTAAACAGCTCCATGCTCTCCGTGCAAGGCACATCACATACCGAAGCTCAAAGCTCCAAAATTCTCTCCTAGACCTTCAGCCTTCGTGCAAAATTGGAATCATACGGTTGATGAGATATATCCTGCATTACCCATAAGGAGTATACCAAATTTCCATGGTTTAGGATCCTTATAAGGTAATGCAGGATTTCTCTCATCAACCGTAAGGAGCCCTTCTTCCCCCCAAGCCCCGAAACACAGACCGTCCCTGACCCTCAAGGTCAAAGAAAGCCAGGCTGCCGAAGCCGGCGGGACAGGCCAGCAGTTGGCTGACGAACTTCAAAACCGGGCTGTCCACTCCTTGTACTCTTGTCTAGGGTTCAGGGTTTAAAAAAAGTTGAGGTAAACCCTAAACCCTAAACCCTGAAGCCTAAACCCTAAACCCTAGAGCCTAAACCCCAACTTCAGGGTTTGGGGCTGTCGGCCCTCGGAATTGGATGTACGGCTTTAGCGTTTTAGGAGACCCTGGACCTTGGGTCTTCAGGGTACCACCCAAAGACCCCAAGCCCGAACCCCTAAACCCCCAAACCCAAATCCCTATCCCACTTGACGCGGCTTAGGGTTTCGGTTTAGGGGAGGGATCCGGGTCTGGAGTTGGGATCGATAGACAGGCTTGTCAATTTGCATAATTAGGTAGAATGAGAATATGGGGACGGAAAGGGAACACTGCTGTTACTCATCATTAAGGCGGCCACTACATCGAAGGCCTTTGATAATCGTTGAAGGGTCGTTAGCTCACTTCAGCTGGGACTCCGTAGACGCAGGAGATGCGGATGATGTCGAAGTCGAAGGTCAGCAACCTTCCCGCGAAGACACACCCCCCAAAGTCTCGAATCTTGGGGCATGCTATTTATGTATTTATGTAGGTTTAGGGTTTAGGGCTTAGCGTTCAGCGTTTAAGGACTTATGGTAAACTGTGGATTAAAGTCGAACACTATAGGGGCCTGGTGTGGGTCTTGTTGTATAAATCAACCAAGCGATATGAACGCCGTAGATGCCCAGGACTCCAAACAGTATAAGCCCTGCAGACCCATTAAGCCCTACAATATAAGTGCCCTTTAGAGTACAAACCTATACAGGAACCATAATGCTGTACTCATTCTTCACGGCCATTGCTTAAGCCAGAAACCGCTGCAGCAGTAGACCCTAAACCCTAAACCTTCAACCCCAAATCCTAAACCAAACCCTAACTCTTAAACCCTAAACCCTGCTGCAGCGAAGCAGCTGTGTGAGCTGTATCAGGTCGTGCACGGGCGGCACCCAATTCACCTAGGTTCCCCAGTAGTCCTTCAATAATAAGGGTACCCTGACCCTAAACCCTAAACCCTAAGGAGACACCAAAGCAAATTTAAATGAAAAGCCTTTCATAACAACGGTACCCTGACCCGAAACCCTAAACCCCAA